GAGGGTAGTTTTAGTCCAAAAATGAAAGTTGAGGGACTGAATCGGGGATATAACCTAGATTTTACAAACATTGTACCAGCAGGAGAATTAACCAAAAAATTGATTATACTCCTCTGCCTCCTATCCGTCCATCCATCGAACATAATAGTGACCCCATATCTTGGCTATTGTTTCCTATGATACTTCATTAATTTTTTAGTGTACTCCAATTCCTTATTTAAGCATGAAACCCTCAATTCATGGTAACTAGGAGGTTTGAGATTTTTTCCATATTGTCCAATTGCTTCTACCATTAACTTGAAACTTTCTGAACGAGCTACATTGAAAGAGATGCCATTTTGGTAGAAGAACTGAGCAATGTATTGAATTGTTTCAGCCCTCAACTCCTTGTTAGAATCCTTTATAGAATATTGCCTACACTTTTCAAGCTTTCTCTTTTTGAGAGTTTCCTCAGATTTTTGGTACATGTACAAATCCATGGGGCCTTTGTGTTGCCCAATTTTGGCCTTTTTACTTCTGCCACCAATAGTTAAAGTTGATTCCCTTGGCATAAGTTCTTCCTCTTCATCTTCCTCTTCAAGATCAACAGTACCACAACTAAACATAAACATCTCCTTTTCTAACTTTTTAGTTGTGGTTTTCTGTTGTAAATTGGCCCACAACTCTTCCCTAATTGCTGGTGGGCATTTAGGACATGGAGCCACATCCCCTTTGATCCCTATTTGATGCCTTTTAGCTCTGGTAATACCACCAGTGGTAACTTTATTACAAAATTTACAGACCACCCGACATGAGTTATTAGGATCTTGCAACTTATTATATTTCCATCCAATCTCATCATCTGATTTGCTTGTTTTTGATCTTGATGAATTGGTCATTCATCCACTTTCCATGTCATAGTTAAAAAAGAAATAGAGGCGCACTTCATGAAGCACTTCAATACAAAAAAAAAAAATGAAACAGAGGCGCACTTCATGAAGCACAGAAGTAGAACCAAGCAAAGAAATATAAAATATAAAATTGCTTCAATACAGAAAAAAAAAATGAAACAGAGGCGCAGTTCATGAAGCACAGAAGCAGAACCAAGCAAAGAAACATAAAATATAAACTTGCTTCAATATAGAAAAAAAAATGAAACAGAGGCGCAGTTCATGAAGCACAGAAGCAGAACCAAGCAAAGAAACATAAAATATAAACTTGCTTCAATACAGAAAAAAAAAATGAAATAGAGGCGTAGTTCATGAAGCACAGAAGTGGAACCAAGCAAAGAAACATGAAATATAAACTTGCTTCAATACAGAAAAAAAAAAAAAAAAGAAACAGAGGCGCACTTCATGGAGCACAAAAGCAAAACCAAGCAAAGAAACATGAAATATAAACTTGCTTCAATACAGAAAAAAAAATTGAAATAGAGGCGCAGTTTATGACAGAGGCGCAGTTTATGACAGAGGCGCAGTTCATGAAGCACAGAAGCAAAACCAAGCAAAGAAATATAAAATATAAACTTTCTTCAATACAGAAAAAAAAAAATCCCTAGGCGCACTTGTTAAAGTAGAATCAAGCAAAGAAAAAAAAATTGCAAAATGCTTTCATGTCTTTCTATTTCTAATTCCAACTTTTTGTTCTGGTGTCAAAAAGAAAAAAGAAAAAAGAGATAGACGGCATTTGCAGAGCAGCAGAAGTAGAACCAAGCCAAAAAAAAAAAAAGTATAACATGCTTAATCACTGTCCAGTAATAAGATTAGTGCTTACTTGAAAGATTACCTGAAATTGGAGACGATCTGGTGTGCAGAACTGCAGATCAGTGCTCAATCGCTGTCCCTCAAGTTACAGGAGGTGTGAAGGGGTAACCTCTGTTAGAGTTGCAAGCTATGGCCGATGGAGACTAAGAGGAGAGTCGAAAGGAGAGTTGCAAGCTATGGCCGATGGTGCGCAAAGTGTAGAGGAGAGTCGAGAGGAGAGTTGGGAGGAGTCGGAAGACCAGATGTGGCGGGATGAGACTAGATGGGTGCGCAGGATGAGACCAAAATCTAGAAGATGCGATGAGTTTTAGCTTTTAGGGTTTTCTTTCTTTAATTAATAAATAGAAAAGTTGAAAAGACAAAATTAGCCTTAAAAATTTTTAACTTAAAACTTTTAATGGGGGTTAACATGGTAATTTGACCAAAATAGTCAAAAAATTACATAGCAGCTGTTATGTGCGCCATCCGCTATACAAATAGCGGCCACTATTAGCGACACTAACGGCTGCTATTGACAAAAACACTACGCTATGAGAAATTTTCATAGCAGTCATAGTTGGCTGCTACGCTATGCCGCTATAGCAGCCGCTATGGCCGCTATTGACAACACTTGTTTATACTATAAGTTTATTTAAGGTTTGATTTAACAGTTGATTGTATTATGGTCAATGCCTATATTTCCATTTCCTACCTGGGAAGGAGAGAATCGAGGGAAGAGCTAGGGAGTTCCTACTAATATTTAAAGGTAGGGAATCCAAAAATGTGAAGGAGAAAGAAAAAATCAAGAAAGAAAATGGCAAGCTGAAGTTGGAAAAGGGAAACATGATGTAGGAAAAGGAAGATTTGATGAAGGAAATTGCCAAACTATTGCAAGCAAATGAGGACATGAAGACACAAACTAGATTAATGGATAGAAAGATAAGGATGTTGGAGAAAAAAGTGAGGAAGGTAGAGATGAGAAGCTCTCAAGTAGCCATGATTAGTCAATTTGTTTGCTTGGAGTTTTTTATTATTATGGTTGTGATTGCTAGGTTGTTTGGATGTAGAAAGTAAATGAGATGTAGAATGTTGTGTGTACTAAAATGAGATGGTAATGGTCATGATATTTGGTAAGTTTTATCTTCAAAAGTCTTGTTTTCCAAAAATGTGATGAGATGTGGTTGCTACAATTTTTATGGCATATATTCCACCTTTCTAGTGAGTTCAACATTAATTTTAGAATTTTGGGAAGTTTAACACCATTTCCAAATGCTTGGCAGCAAGTGCATAAAACCCAACAATCAAAATACACAAAAAAAATTAAGAAAAAAAAAAAAAAAAAACAAAGATTAGCTAACAATTATACAAAGTGTCGAGCAATGCTTACACATACAAAACAATCTATCATTTGACATTCCAACTATAAAGCATACACCAAAAACTACTTTGCCAGTCGACTATCTCATATTACAAAAATCTAGCTTGCCTATCAATTATAAAGCATACTAAGCAGCGCATGTCCTAAGGCTTCAACACAAGAGCTTTGGTACTTGGCTAAACGCAAGCACAAACCAAAACACACTACCTAATTTGTTCATTATCAAACCAAATGCAACCGTTCCCTTTTTATTGAGTTTTGCTAGTACCAACCCATTTTGCCCTATCTTTGGTCATTTGATCGACTTGTGCTTTCCATTGTTTGTAGTCACAAACTGCATACCACCCCAAGGACTAGCATTCCCAAGTCCAGTGAGTGGATTCCTAGTTGTAGTTGATGGTGCTTTCTTGATCGTATCAGTTATTGGTCTTGGTGGTTTTCTTGTAGCTGTCTTCACTCTTTTTTTTGGGTTGTTGTGGAATTTGATTTTCCTCCACTCCATGTTGAGTCTACCTAGGAGTTTCTACAGTAGCATGTGATGCACCTATAGAGGGATTCCCAGTTGCAGATTCTAAACTCATTTGTCCTTAATAACTTTTACATAAAAAACAAATCAAATCTTAGATAAATCAATGTGTAGATTAACTCTACCTTTAAGGACTAACCTTCTTATTTTGTCTTGTTGTGAGTGTCTTAACTCCATTTTTTGTTGCTAGACAGTTGTTGGATTGGTATTCTCTTTAGTTTGATTTTGCATAAGTATTGGATCATTGACAGGGGTTGGATTCACCACTTGAGTCAAAGGAATTTAAGAATCCTAAAAAATAATGGTGCATGGTTTGTTACACAATAGTACAAGAGCATAACCCTAAACAAGAAACAAAAATATGGAAAGGTTACATAATTTTCAATGACTATTTTGAGTTGTTGGGAATCTTGAATAGGGACTTGCTTTTTACTTGCTTAGGCATTTTCATGTTGAGGGGCCAACAACAAGTTAATAATATACCTCAATTAAACCAATTGTCACATAAAGTTATGTACACTTTAAACTAAAACTTACAATTGTGGATCCTTATGCTTTGCATGTCCTTGAATTGTGTCATCTTTGGAAACACTTTTAACAAGTCATTTGTCTCCCTTTTCGACTCATGTTAGTGTTAGTGTACCCTTCTCATTCTTCCATAACTCTTTTCTTTTTGGGCCTTCCTGGCATTTTCCTGGTTGGTGTGGGTAGAACAGGCGGCATTCCAATTTTTTCCCACTAATTCATCCCTTCAATTATAGGTACTACATACTCATAAATGGCTTTAAACTTCTCCTTCCTGTACCACTCTGATGCATAATCTTCTACTTTTTCCTTCCTAACATTAATAGCTACTATGGCATGCTTACAAAGGATTCCAGTCAGATCCCATTACCTACATGTACACTTTTTGTCATCCACATTAACCATATATACATCTTGTCCATTTTCTTGAACTTCATAACAATTACTCCCCAGCTAAAGGAATTTGGATCTTCTACTTCCCCTTGTATTTGCTACCAGTTTTTCCCATGTTTGTGGACTAAAATCATCTATAAACTTTCTATCCCCAAATTCTCTTCTTGCAACTGTCTTTTTGCCACAAAATGTCCTCAAATCTTAATGCAATGAAATAATAGCCTTATGTCTTGAATCAACTAACAAGCCATTAAAAACCTCACACACATGATCAATTATATTTGACTTTGTCTCTGTTTGGAAGAGCACTTTACACCAATGCTTTGGGTTTGTATTTAACATTTTTCCCTTGCAGAAGGTTTCAATAATGTCAACTTGTATAATGCTTTGTCAAACTCAATTATGGTTCATGCCTTAATGCACTTCCAAAATGCCTTTTACAACTTCTTGCCTTTATGATGCTTCCTAAAATTGTTGTACTTATGCCTAGCACAAAACCTCTGTTCAACATATGGGAAGATCTCCACAACCTGACTAAGGGCATGTTTGGTGAAGCTTATAAGAGCTTTAACTTTTTGATACTATTCATGTTTCATAAGTTTAAATTTTTCTCTTAAAAACTTACATTTTTTAACTTCTTTTTAACTTTTAAAAGACCTTAAATAGTAAATTTTGAAAAGCTTCAAATTTGTGTTTTTTATAAACTTCCTTTTTACTTACTTCTTACTCATTTTTTTCTATTTTTAAAAGTAACTTTTAAATTTTTCCTCCAATAAAAATTTAAATTTATCACTCATAAACAGTATAAAAAAATATATAAGCTTTTACAAGCTTCACCAAACATGCTCTAAGTCACTAAAATGAAATAAATATAAAGTGTTAGAAGACCAAATTGCTTACAATTCTAAGTCCTTATAAAGTTGGTACATACCTTTTGTTGGTCAAACATAATGCAAAAATTGCTTCCATCTCCCATAACTAAATCTTTCCTTAGTTCTTCAAAAAACCATTCCCATGTCCCCCTTTTCTCAACCTCCATAACAGCCAATGCTATTGGGTACATTTGATTGTTTACAACCCTTCCAACCACAATTAGCAATTCTCTTTTATAGGCACCTTTGAGGAATGCACCATCAACTCTTATTACATGTTTACATCTAGCAAGGAATCCCTTCTTCAATGCACTAAAACAGTAATACATCCTCAAGAAAGTAGGAATTGTATCTACTGTTTGCTTATAACACTAAATTACAATGTTTGCTTTAGGATCTTTTGACTTAAGCTCATTTGCATAGTTGAATAAACTGTTGTATTCAGTATTAGAAACACTTTCAAATTTCTTCTTTAACTTATCCTTTGTTTTGTTGCATTGCATAGGTGTCAACTCCACACCTAAATCACTTCGAATTGCCTAAAACATGTCTCCCATATTCATCAACAGAGAAGCTACTCCTCTTATCTTAACTAAATGGTTGACAACAATAGACGATGTGCAAACTTTGTTTGTAATATGGAAAGTTTTTACCATCCAAGAATTTGTAGGGGTGTCCATTGCTAATAGAATCTTCTACTCACATTTCTCATTCTTAGATACTACCCTCATCCGGAGCTTATCATTTTTTTCCATGCAATCTCTCTCCCTGCCCAGATGCATAATTGATAAATAGCTTTCTTAAACTGTTTTTTTTTTTTTTTTATTAAGGAATATCATACCAAGCTCAATTTTTGGGTTGCCTTCATTTTCAATTTCATAAAAGATAGGATGCGTTGTTTTTCTTCTTATACCATGTTCTATTTCAGTGTCCTCTTTAGTACTTGTGGATATGTAACTCACTTTATTATTAGAGTGTATTTTTGCATCATTCTCAACTTGAACATCAATGTTTATATTACCTACAATAAAAACAATTAATCATTAATGCCAAATGTAAATGTAAATGTAAATTAAGTTTACAAAACCAAATGGAAAACACTATTCAGAACATCAAAGTAATGCTGGCATGCTATTGAGTCACCCTATAATGCTTTAAATTATCCTTTGCTAGAATAGTCTCCTCATCTCAATTGTCAAACAACTTAAAAACGTCCTCAAGCCCATTCTCACCCTAATCTTCTTGATCTTCCTCACGTTCTTCACCATTATTTATATCAAGTGGTTGAGAGCAACAATCATTTTGGACCTCACCACCAGCAACAAAGAAATCCCCATGTTCTGTGCTCATACAACTACCAACCTCATTACATAGTCCATGTTGTTCACTATTATTGTCCCTTCTTTCACCAGCCTCATTAACTACCTCATCCTAATTGATCCTACTCCCACTAGCATCATTACAAACGTCATTAATAGGTTCTAAATGGTCACCTGGTGCTAGGAGCATTAAAACAGGAATTATTTTAGCAAAGTTGGGGATGTGCTTTACATATACATGAGCTTCCCCATGTTCTTTCATCACAGTGAACACTTCCCTAACTGTATCATCACCAATAATTTGCTTTAAACCATCATTTAGTGACTTGTTTGGGGTAAGATAAGAAACACTCTCCACCAACTCAACATCATATCTAGCAAATATAACTTTCTTATAAAGCTCTCAAACTGTTAAGAAGTTAGAATTCGCTCACCATGTATCACACTCCCCATCAACATATCTAATGTTACCATTGCAATCACGCTTTGAGCTACCACAATATGGATATAATTGACAAGTAGTTACCACTCTTTTCTTCAATCTATTCAAATCAACAATATAATAAATAAAAAGATAATCAATACTCAACAAATAAGCAATGTTGCATCCATTACAACCACTTTAAGATCATTAATTATTTAATAATAATAAATTACTATATATGAATTTATCTATTTGCACAATCATAGAAAAAATCTATGTACAAACAACAATGTGGGGACCAAATGTCATTTTAAAACAAAGAAAAACATCATAGATTCCAATGTCTTTTGTTTCTCAAAAGGTTACACATAAACCCACAAACCTAACAGACCCATTTGTTGTTCTCATCTTTTCTGATATGCAAAGCATAGAGAAATAGAAAAAAGAAAGCCATTTTAAGACAAAGACTAACATAATTGGGAAACATAACATATCTTATCCTTGATTTCCATAGACTCCGAATTTATGACTTCGGGTATAACTTTTGGTACCTTCTAGTTATGACTAGTTCTAGGTTCTTCATCCATTGAGTGGATCTATCAACAAATTCCATCAACAACTTTGATCGTGATATAAAGCCTAATTTGAGATTCAATTATAATATTGCAAAAGTAGCAGGTCTAGGAGAGAGAGAGAGAGAACAAATTTTCATGTGGGCCCCACTAAAAGGGAGAAGATGAAAAGTAGCAATTTGACATGTAAAAAACATGCCACGGTGACAATTTTCTTCATTGGATTTTACATGTCATTAACATTCAAAAAATGAAGTGATTTTGTGACAAGACAATAGGCCACCTGGAGCTTTTGTTAATGGAAGGACCATTTTAATACCAAATATGAAAGTTCAAGGATAATTTTGATACTTTTTGAAATTGAGGGACAATTTTGGTGCCAAGTGGAAAGTTGAAGGACAAAATGGAATTTTAACCTAAAAATTTAGCTCAACTCAAGTAGAACTTTTAAGGCTGTGTTTGCATTAGCAACTATGGAGCATGTGTCCTTTCTAAAGATCACTAGTTTGCTACAAGATCACATCTCTGCAACTTTAAAGCTTATCTTGATTCCCTCTTTTGCGTGTAGATATAAGAAGTTTGAGTATGTTAGAAGTCCTAAATCTAGGATGGAACAACAACACTAGTGGAAGTTGTCTGGTACAATCAATCAGGGCATTCCCTTTAATTAAGACCCTTGATCTTACTTTCAGTACATCTATAAAATAGGTGATTGTTGAAGGTAAGTAATGCAAAATGGCAAAAAGGACAAAAAAGAGGAGAAAGAAATGCTTAATGGTCTGTCTTTTCGTTTTTCAATTGTTCATTATCTCACTTTGTCCAAGTTGCTAACAATAACTTGTTATTGAATTTGCATGACAATTTTCTTCAAAGTATTGGAAAGCTAAGCTCTCTTAAAGTTTTGTCTTTGTCCACTTGTGGACTTAATGGAAGCTTACCCAATCAAGGTAAAACATATAATCTTTTGGCTAATCCCAAAAAAATTAAAAAATGTATACAATCTTTTCATGAGAAATTTAGAATTATGATTTGATGTAGCAATTCCTCATTTCTTTGTTTTTTCTTGTGTCAGTAATTTCATTTTTTTTCCTTCATCAATAAGTAATATTTACAGGATGGTGTGAACTAAAGAACTTGGAAGAGTTAGATTTAAGTACAAATAATTTTCATTGAATATTTTCCTCCTATTTGGGAAACTTGTCACATGTTTTGGTATTGGATGTATCGTCTGACCATTTCACAAGAAATAGTGCCACCAACCCTCTTACCAGTCTAAAATCAGTTGAATATCTCTCATTTAGAAGTAACAATTTCCAAGTCCTAGATTCCTCTAGGATGTTTGCCAACAACTTGAAGCTTAAGGTCCTTCTTGGTAATGACAACAATTTAATGCTAGAACCTCTCCTTCAAACTCAAACTCTAACTTCCAACTCATAGCTTTGAGTTTATCTCACCTTGCATTAAAAGAACCTCCCTACTTCCTCCATCACCAAAATGACCTTAGGGCTATTGATCTTTCCCACAACAACATCATTAAAGGATTCCCATCTTGGTTGTTCATGAACAATACAGGATTAGAAGTATTCAAGCTAGGATATAACTCCATTTCAGGACCTTTGTAGTTGCCATCACATCCTCATTTCAACATTACAATTTTAGATGTAACTAGGAATGGTTTACAGGGAAAATTTCCCATAAACATGAGTTCAGTCTTTCCCTATCTTACAAAGTTAATCATACCCAAAAATTCCTTTCGAGATCAGATTCATGCTTCCTTGGGTGATATAAAATCATTAAAATATTTAAGGCTATCAAGCAATCATTTCTCTGACAGTATTCATGAATCCTTTGGTTGTTTAAGCTCTTTAGCCTATTTAGATTTGTCAAACAACCAATTGTCTGAAGGAATACCAAAACTACTGGTCTTGGATTGCCTTTTGGAAGTTCTCATATTGTATTGCAAAAATTTACAAAGGCAAGTATTTCTTCTTCTTTTCAATGCAACATATTTACTTGTCTTACGACTAGGTGATAATAACTTTGTTGGAGAGGTACCTAAGTTTTCATCTATCAACTTTTTTTCACCATGGATTATAGACATGAGCAACAACCATATCTCAGGCAAGCTTCCAAGATGGATGGGAAATATATCATCCTTGTATGGGCTATTTTTGTCCAAAAATCATTTTGAGGGTCCTATTCCAATAGAATTTTTGGCCTTGATAGCCTTGATTTTCTTGACTGCTCATACAACTACTTGTCTAGCTCTATACCAAAATGCTTTAATTCAATTCCAATATGATATGTTCATCTGAGCAACAATAGATTTATTGGGCCATTAAAAAAAGCATTCTCTAGCAGCTCTTCCTTGGAGACACTAAATCTTACAAGGAACAATCTAAATGGTATAATTCCTAGTTGGGTTAGTAGCCTACCTCCATTGAGCATTCTTTTGTTGAAAGCTAACCATTTTGAAGGTGAAATTCTTGTTCATCTATGTTAGTTGAACATATTAAGGATGATGGATCTTTCTTAAAATGATCTTTTTGGTTCTATACCCTTTTGTTTCAATAGTTTAACCTTTAAGGCATCAGTTACTCCAAACTCAATTCCTTTTTGGAGGTTTAGAAGCGAAATAGCAATGTTACAATTACTATCAAACATGTGGAAGAAAAAGTCAACAAAGAATTTTGACAACTTAGTGACATCTAAAAATGAGTTAATTAACTTGGAGGATTGAGTAGAGTTCACAACAATGAGCATGTCACATGTTTATAATGGAAGCATGCTTCCTTACATGTCTAGCATTGATTTATCTTGCAACCATCTCACGGGAAGGATCTCACTTGAAATTGGATACTTGAATGAGATCTATGCACTAAACTTGTCACACAACAAGCTAACATGACCAATTCCCTCTACATTTTCAAACCTTAAGAAGATTGAAAGTTTGGACCACTCCTATAACAATTTGAGTGGGAAAATCCCCCCTCAGTTGACTGAGCTAACCACCCTGGCTACGTTTTCTGTTGCATACAACAACTTATCAAGACCAATCCCTGATCAAAAAGCTCAGTTTGGGACCTTTGATGAAAGCAGCTACAAAGGAAATCCTTTCCTTTGTGGAGCTCCACTACAGATCAATTGCACCAAAATTGAATCACCATTAGTTTTGACCAATACCTCCAATTATGATAGGAAAACTTTTGTTGAAATTAGAAAGAAAGGAAATTCTTTCCTTTGTGGAGCTCCACTGTGAATCAGTTGCACCAAAATTGAATCACCCACAGTTCTAACCAATGCCTCCAAATATAACAGGAAAAACAATGGTTTGATCAACATGAGTGTTTTACTCTTTAACTTTATGATAACTTATGTTGTAGTGTTGATGGCAATTGCAGCAATTTTGCGCATAAATCCTTATTGGAGACGGGCATGATTATACTTCATTGAAGTCTGCATCACCTCTTGCTACTACTTTGTTCTAGACTACTTTTGTTGGTTTTCCAAAAGCATCATTTAACCTTTGTAGAGTCAAGACTCAAGAGACCGAGAATCGGAATTGTAAGAGAAAATATGTATTCAAGGGGTAGCCTTGGATTCAAAGGATCTTAATGCAAACTTTGATATTGAATTTTCCCACTAAGAAAGTTCATCTCAGTAAAACATGCAGCTACATCAATCCCACCAAATGTCATTTACTGGAAAATAATGACAACATTTACAAATTTGGCTCAGAAATGATAACTTTTACAAATAAAATGCATGTACAAAGTAAAGTAGTTTTTTGTTCTAAGAGAATAAGGACGCAGCTTGAATGGTACAAAAGCTTAAACCAGAACCAAATTAATTAGGGGTACAATCAAAAGGCCATGGCTCAAAAACCTATCATTCTCCCAACCGAAACAGTGGTGGAAAAAATAGCACTCTGATCCTAAAATGTTTACAAAAAGATGAGAGTTTGAGAACCTTCGTTCTCATTTGCAGTCTAAATGCAGCAAAGATACCAAGAGGAACCATCTCTTGAGACTACATAAGTCAAAAATGATCAGCTGAATATCAAAATTTGTTACTTCTTCTTTGTGCCCTCCACCAACCGTAGCCTGTTAGGATATGTATTGGGAACTTCAAAAAAAGTTGAGTCATTCGTTCTCCTTGTAAGAAACCTATCACTAGAGGAAAATCTTTCTGAGAATTGATGACAGATGCAATTGTATTTTGTACAGGAAATACAGTAGAGAACGATAAGCGGAGAAGTGCTTCAGAACTTCCATGCCCTCAGTTCACTATGTTGAGCTATACAAGCACAGACAACAGAGAAATACCAGTTATTTAAGCCTTCCTATCAGTGCAAATGGAACATTTACCTCTTGAGCACCATCGGACCACAGAAACCAGCATGTTTATGTACTTTCTGCACATCATCTGCCAGAAGACATGGCTTCCTCAATTCTCCTAATTACAATACTAAGACTACCACCACTTTCCAAAGCTGTGACAGCAGCTCGATGAGCGTGCCTATGCCATTTCAGCAGGTTGAAAGACTGAAGAACAGACCACCTTGCTTGATTTGACATCTTGTCAAGGTAATGAAAACCAATCATTAGCATCTTTTTTCTCTCTCTAGGTGAGAATAATTAGTACCTATTAATTGAGTAATTGCATGAAAATAAATCATTGCCGATGTACCTGAGCTACAGACAATGGGGGTTGCAGAAGGACACAGATGCTGCGAAACATGTTTTCATCGTTCTCCCCACCCTCTGCCTCACCATAAACCAGAGCCTCAGCAGCAATACCAGCAAAAAGCACCATGCAGTACCTGATCATATGATTATGCATCAGTATAATCAATAATAATAGAAAAATATTCCTCACATGCATTTTTGCTAATGACGTGTTTACAAACAGCCTTAAAAGAGAAGAACGTCCTCTCAATTTCTGCACAGTGCCTAGAAGAATAGTTTATTTTAACTCCAGTTTAGACAGATTTATTCCACTTGGAATATCAGTGATCATAATTAGAAACTAACTGAACTATAGACCTTAAGACCTGATGGAGCACAAGTAAAGAACAAATAGATTGAAAGTAATAGAAGATGTAGAAAAAGAGAGAAAAGAAAAAAAAAATGGAAGAACTAGAAAGAACAAGAATTAGAAACAAGAATTTAGGTTGGGAAATTTTTTTAGAGTTTGAAGTCAGTATTTCCAAAAACTGAATGTCAGAGACATGATGAATAACAATCCGTAAAGAAACAAGGAAATCGACCAATTTTTCAAATAGTAAATGAAATAAATATAATTTGGGCACTAAACTTGCATCTAAGGCAAGAATATCTAAATCTTTAGGCTACTTTAAACAACCTGTCAAAGGCAGAGCCACCCAATCGTCCTTCGGCAAGCTCATTACTCATTTTCTCATCCCAAAACTGAGTTCCAGCCTGTAGGAAAATGCTGAGTTGGGCCTTTATAAATTCTGTGACTAAAGGTGTCCACAAGAGATGATATTGCTTAAGAATCAAAACAGCATACAGCATGCAGTTTGATTTACTTTACAAAAATACTTAGAGCAAAATGTAATTTAAAAAAATCAAAATAACTACCTGCCCTTGGATGCCCATCTGCATTGCAGCAATTGGATCTAAAATAACTCCACGAATTGGGCAACCCATAAGGTATGCTGCAAATAAATTAGAAAAGAACATTAGTTATGATTGTAAGCCAATATGATATGTTAAGATCATTGTCAAAGAACCAGAAGAGACTTCATCAGCCTTTTGACCACTGCTAAATATGCAGAAATGACCATGCAAAAAGTGTCTAAATGCAGAGATTCATATTTCAGATTTTGTACTAAAAAAAACCATAATAACATTGAAGTGAACAATGCAGGTATTACATACCAACAAGGAGGTGGCCTGCTTCATGAACTAGAATCCGACGCCTATATGGAGGCCAGTAACTTGAGATTAAAGCTAAACATGTACCCCCAAGGAAGATAGAATCTATAAAGGCTAGGCCCAGTATGGCAGCAAGGTTAGGCCTGATATCAATCCCTTGAGAAAGCAGATAAGACACTCCACCCAGAAGAGCAACCAATGGAATGCTTGTGGTTCCAGAAGAACCCCACTTTTTTGGAGAAAGTTTAGAAACTGAAAGAGGAAAAGGTAATCCATAACTATTTCAATGAAATTTTACTTGATTTTCTTAGATAAAAACAAATAGCTACAATACCAACCAACATAAAACAACCATAAAATAATAGAACGATATACATTATTCTAATCCCAATCATTTAAAATTATGCAATCTGGTGAAGCTGCAAAGACTTCTATATGCAAACTAGTTCAAATCAAGACGATGCAAGAACGTGAAGAACTTAAGACAAATTCATAAATATTAAAGTAAAGGTACCATCTAAACCAGTAGAGGACTTCAAGACACTTGGTGTAACGTCTCTTGACCCCTCAAGAACTGCATAAAATGTGCGTGTTGAAGAAGTTAAAAGCAGAATTACATTCATTCAAGCAGAAACGAAAGTCGTTACTTTGCAAAGCCCACTCCTTTACATCCAACAAAGGACCCATTTTCCCCCTTCTCAAGTTCACTGCGAAATTACTAACAGTAGACACACACACACACACACACACACAAGAAAAATTAAAACCAAAACATATAAAAGAACAACCTTTGCAAGAATTAATAAC